CAGGAAGTCTGCGACGTCGCAAACCGAGATACGTGGTTTGGTAGTTTCACCGTCGATATAGAGCTTTCGGATTTGCAGACGTTGAAGTCTTTTGGCAACGAGACGAACAACTTGCGCTGCCTCCATTTTAAATCGCGTTACAGTTTCGCTTTAAAGTTTCAACGAGGCGGGTAGCACGAGGAGGACAGCGAACAAATCAAATCAAAAAGTTTACGGAGTAGACAAAAGCCAGCTCGGCGAAGAGAAACAGAAATCCCGACTGCCGTGTGGGTATGGGCTCGCCGTGGCTGTGGCTGTGGGCCGCAAAACTGTAAATAATTAAATAATATTCTCTGCTCACCAGACTGTTTTCACCGTGGCCATCGCGCTTTGCTCGGTTCCCTAGATTTTTTCTCCCATTAGGCCCGAGCCGTCTTTTCCGATTCCCATCTTGGTCTCTGCGCCTTCTTTAATTTATTTTTTCTCCCGCTCTCGGGTTTTAATTTTCATTTATGAAACAATAGATGAAACTTCTTGACGAAGAGCTCAATATATTTTTATTAGGAGGCCCAAGCTGGGAACCTCGCTGCCAAATCTGCATACAATCTTTCAGTTTGAGCTTATTCCTCTCAAAATTGAACAGTTGAGCCCGAAACTTCGCGATTCTCGTCCGATGACGACAAAACGGAATTCTATCGAATATAATCATTTTCTGATGTGTTCAGAACTCATAGTTTGCCGGAATGAAAAAGTGCTTGATTTATCCGAGTCCTTTCATTTTTTTCTTCTTTTTTTTTACTTCTCTGTTCTATTAAGTATTAATGTAAGCGTGTGCACAGAGCGTCACAATACATATGGCACCAGGGAATTTTCACTGTCTTAGAAACTATCAAGAAAAACCGGGAAGTGCCTCGAAATACCGTCAATTGTCAGAAAATTATGTATTTTTTTCTTCAAAATAAGCGTAATAATACCTCGCACCCGAAGTCCGAATTCACTGAAGAGGTTTTTTCTCCAGACGTTTGTTTAGGAATGAGAAAAAACTGTGAAGATTTCGAGGCAAATCTGGTGGCTACTTCCATACGCAACCCTCGTGTTACTACTTTCTTACTAACGGCCCGAATGAGCAGTGAGTTACTAGATTCTCCGGTGCCGGTGTGAATCTTGGTCAGGACTTTTACCAACAGACCAAGTCGGCAGAAACTTGGAGATCGCCCCGCGTAAAGTCCGTGGCAACGCCGGCCTGGAAATTAGTTATTATATTGCGTGTCTCCCGGGCCATGAGCGGTTCCTCAATTTGTTTCTGATTCGTTTTCCCTCTCTGATTCCACTGGTCCTCTACAAAGTAGACAAATTAGTGGAGCCCCGTCCGGTTTTCTCTCACACTCGTCGGCTTGTTTATGAGCTTAGCCCTTGCCGAGCACGGGGTGCGCGGCGGGGTGGGTTGGGGGAGGGGGAGGGGGGGTCCGAGTGTTTCTGCGACCCACTCAGGTGTGGGCGTTATCCCGGCCACTGACCACTCTGACAAGGCTTAGCCCCCCCCCATCACACTATTCTAACTTCCAGTTTTCCTTCCGGCAGCAGCGGTGCGGTCACCGTCTTGTCCCAAGGACACCCAGCTCGTGCTCTTTTTTCGGGCGTGCTTTGCGATGTATCGATTGATACGCCATTCAAACTTATGGAGAAAGATCGATTATCAGGGCGTTGCATGGAGCACTATAACAATCGATTCTTCACCATGGCTTCAATTGGGATAGTATCGATAGTCGATTATCACGCCTCGCCACTGTTTTTTCGGGGACTGAGTTGAGGTTTCGCGTGGCCGGATGAGCTCCCATTGAATTATTTTTAGAATTTTAACATTCAGTCCAATTGCAAAACGAAAAGGTCAATTTTAAAATAGATTCCTCCTCATTCAGCTTTTCCCCATAAATTTTTCGACAAAACATTTTAGCACTTTTTTTTTTTGCATATTATTTCTGATACCATCAACGAAGCAATAGATACTCTGATTTGCTGGGTGCTTGTTTTTATTTACCACGGGAAAAATTAGTTTGAACAGTTTTTTTTCTCGATGTCTATGTTTCTTAAAATTTCTCTCTCTGACTTTATTAAATTACAGACGGATTAAACCATAATATCAGTCGAACTTATTCAGACGTTGCCTATTGTCCTTTCATGTTTTATTTCATCAAAATAAACGGAACAAATTTTCAACTTGCAATTTTGTAAATGAGTGATTCATAATATGGGGTAATTCCTACAGGGTTTCAATGTATTATTATGCTTCTTTCACTCGTAAAAACTCATACTTTAGTTACGCTGACTGTGGTAAAATCCTTCTGTATAGAACGAAAAAATAACTGCATAAAAATTTGGCAATGATGGTAAATCCATGACAGTTTCGAAAAAACCACTCAACTCCTTGAAATAACGAAGATTCCAAATCCCCCAGATGTCCCGCGTGACAATCAGTTTTGAAGCTGTATAATGAGGCACTTTAGCACTCGGTTTCCGCGGGAATAAGAGTATTCAAATCAATACGCGCTCAGCGGCAAAATGGTAGTTTTACCCAAGGAGTAATAAAATCGGTAAAGATGGAGTCTGAGACTGATTTAAGAACGGGAGAGGGTGGGGAGAGGGGCAGGCGGGGGTGGACTGGGAGAGGCGCGCAAGCGACGCCCAGCCAAGAGCCATTTACGAAGTTATTATGGCCGAATCATAAAAGAGGGACGGATGGGGCAATTTTGAATAAAGATTAAACTGCAGGCATTGGTCCTTCACTTGCCTGCTGGAGGTGGAGACTTAAGCTGCTAAGGTCACCGTACAGGCACAGGGGTCAGGTTCTTGCAAACTCGGAAAGCATTCGTCAGCCCAAACCCAAAGTAAATTAGGGTATGCAAAGCTCAAATTGTCTCTAAAGTCAACAAAGCCCTTGGTTTGAAAAGACAAAAACATCGAACAAGAACAAATTCTGAAGCTCCCGACAGCTAATTATTATGTTATCGCGGTACTCGCCGCCCATAAGATGATGAATATCCGCAGAATGAATTCTTACATTGGCTTATTTTGGAAAATTCCTATCAAAATTTGCTTTATTTCGTCTGCTAAGATTTAAGAACAGAAATCCGGTACTAAATATCGGGCAGTTTTAGATACGGATAATTACATCCACAACACTGAAAAAAAAGATTGGTAGAATTTACCATTCCTTCACGCTGTATTTCACGCAGCGTCAATTCAGAGTCGATTCTGCCAAAAGAAAGGTGAACGTTACTATATACTGGTGCAGGTAACCACCATTCCTCTGGCAGAATCGACTTGAAGATTGATAGAATTTACCATTCTCTACGCTGTGTGAAATACAGCGTGAAGGAATGGTACATTCTACCAATCTCTTTTTTCAGTGATACTGACCTCAACATTTATAATTATAAAAATGTAAGTGTGGCAGTAACGTCAAGTAAAGTCAAATTTTACAACCAGCTCGTTTGCATTTCAAAATTCACCACCGATATTCGAGCATCAGCTTGTTTGCAAATGAAAAAAAATTTGAAAGATGGCAGAGGTGCTGAGATAATCCCGATTTTCTGCGGTCCCATGGCGAGGCGGCGGGTCGTCTGAAGTGTGTCAGCCAATGGGACGACCGCGGTTTGACTGACAGCGCCCGCCGCGCCGAGAGGCGGGGGAGTCGGAGGGGGGCGGGGGGCAGTTTGATGGGCCGAGGACAGGGAATGCACGAGCCGGTAATTTAGGCAACGATGCGGGGATTTCAGGTTATCATCATCATCATTATCTTGGCGGCGAGCGGGGTCGGTGGAGACTCGGAGAGGCAGCGGCATGATGGCGACGGGCAACGGGGACGACGGAGTTGGAGCCCTGAGCTGAGCATGGAGCTTGCTCCGGAACAGTACCCGCTGCGAGGCTCCGCGCTGCACTTACCTGTCATAACGCATGATAGATGAACCCGGAGCAATACTTATTTAGATTTGTTGAATTGTAACAGCCAATAATGAATACGAGCAACATCCAACATTCGAGAACCAACGGCCAACTCACGGATCTTCGCGTCTTCCTACGCCCGCGCATCCAGCCGCCGCCGAAGTCCGTCTCCGTCTCGTTTCGCTCTCCTCGCCGCGGGTTACCTCCCCCGACTAACTTCATTCTGGACCCACTTGCAAAATTTTCACATTTCGCCGTGCTCCACTATTACTTTGATCTTGTGTGCGCTTCCAATCACCTATTTTTGTCAAAATTTTCCTCGCAGTGCATTAAAATCACTTAATGAACTCCCTCAGAAGAATCAACATTAGCTCTTCACCCTCTTTTTCTTATTCTTCTCATTTTTCTTCGTATTTTTCAGTTTCTTCTTCTTCTTCTTTTTCTTCTTTTTCTACTTCCTCTCCTTTTCCTCCTTCTCCTTCATCTCTTCCTTCTCCTTCATCATCATCTTCTTCTTCTTCTTTTTCTCCTTTTTCTTCTTCTTCTTCTTCTTCATCTTTATTTTCATTTTCTCCTCCTCCTCTTCCTCCTCCTTCTTCTTCTTACTCTTCTTCTTCTTCCATGGCTCTAAAGCAACCAAAATGACTCCCACGAATGATATCAAGGAGCGCAGTAGAAACACACAATCAAAGAAATACCTGCCAGATTCCAATCTTAAAAAACGCCTTCATTGAGCGCGGATATACTACCCGAGCTCCGGAGAGGTCGAATAGTTGCATGCATGCGCCTGGCGAGTGCACATCGACGTTCGCTGAACCGTAGATTCATTGCGATCGAAACTGATGCTGCTCTCAAGATGAAATTGTCATCGGAATGAAAATCGGAGTAATCAAAGGAAACTCTCAACACTTTGATCTCTGCAATGAAACCGTTTTACCCTCATTGTTCTAAACCAGTCGTTAACGCTCGCATCTTTTTGATGTTCTAATTTCTACCTCATGTTGATTGGTAAAGTAGATTATTGCCTAAAAAATCCCATTAACAGAAATAATAATGTGTTCTTTTCTTGTTTGTTGCAGTAAAATGGTGTCCTCGACGAGAGTGGTCGTCGCCGACAGAGGCCCGAGCGTCTGAAGCCGCCCGAAGAGGTGTCCTATATTCCTCTGTGTTCCTTGGTAGTCCGGGAGAATACAATTCCTGTAAGTAACACATTCTTTTCTTTTTTGCAACATCTTCGCCGTTTAAACTACGTCCTCAATCAGCGCAATTTTACCGTTCCAGCTCCGGTGAACTCGGATAGTTGTATCAAAGCGCTGTGCAATTCATTCGAAGCATATCGCCTCGTCTCCGCTTTTTAAAATACGCCTTCAATCAGCGCGGTTATACCACCCGAGCTCCGGCAAGCTCGAATAGTCGTATCAAGGCGCCGTGCAATCATTCCAAAGTATATTTTGCCACGATTAGTTCGGGTGAATGATTTGTGGATTGCAATCAGAGCTAGGCTTTAAAAATTATCCTATGGACAGTCATCTGACTATAATTTCCTGTCTCGGAAAAAAAAAAAAAAAATTCATGCAAGACTGAAAAGGAGGGGAATTTTTAGTATCCTAAACTGATTCCAGCAGACGCACGAGTCGTAAGACAGTAAGTTGGAATTTTTGCAAATTTTGAATTTCGGAATTTTTGAAATTGTGCCACATGAGCTTTTTCTCGCTGTGTTGGGATTTTCAGCTTTAAGCTCATTTTTAACCCACGTTGTCTGAAAAATTCCAATTTACTGTCAATTTTTAGTGTGGTCTCGTGTACACCCCTAAGATCGATAAATCAAACTCAAACCTAACTTTCAAAATGATTTCAAACGTAGACGAAATTCTTCTCAGTTCTTTTCCTGGAAAAAGACGGTTTCTATGCAAAATTCAGCAAAGGCAGTAAATCACGATGAAACCTCGGATGACTGGTTCCAGCGAAAACTCAAAAATTGACACACTAAAGGATAGATAAATCGAATTCAAACCTAACTTTCAAAATTATTTCAAACATAGACGAAATTCTTCTCAGTTCTTTTCCTGGAAAAAAAGCGGTTTCCATGCAAAATTCAGTAAAGTCAGTAAATCACAAGGAAACCTCGAATGGCTGGTTCCAGCGAAAACTCAAAAATTGACACTCTAGGATTGATAAATCGAATTCAAACCTAACTTTAAAAATGATTTCAAACGTAGACGAAATTCTCCCAGTTCTTTTCCTGGAAAAAGGTGGTTTCCATGCAAAATTCAGCAAAGGCAGTAAATCACGACGAAACCTCGGATGACTGGTTCTGGCGAAAACTCAAAAATTCCAAGTTCTCAGGGCAGCAACTCACACTCGAGCCCGAGCGACGAGGACGAGTTGAACGACTCGGAGCTCGGGGCTCGGGGCATGAGCGATCGAAGGTGGGGGCGGGTGGGGGCTGAACTTGGACTTTCCCGGCTAGGGTTCAAGGGAGAGTGGGGTGCAAGTATGTCTGCGAACCCGTTTTCCAGCTCTCCCGCTCTCTCCAGCCGATGAGGCGCGGCGCGACGGCGACCAACAATTTAGTCAATATTCACCGGGTGGGTCGGTAGGGCCGGGAGTGGGGGGTGGGGGTTGGAGGGACGATCCGAGCCGGTTGGCGTAAGGCGTGTGCGCACTGACTAAACCCCGCCAAAATTTATCGTCGCCATGACGACCTTTAATTCTGAGCCTTTTTTCCGCCGCTGACGTCGCGGCGCGCATGCCTCCCACCCTCCGCCCCTCCCGCCCGGTCATCGCGCTTCGTGCAACCTTTACTTCCACGAACCCGGGATCCCGGCATCAACTTACCCCCGGAATTTCTTTTTCCGCGATTCCTACTTTCCTCTCCTCGACTGTCTCTGGCTAGCGTCTGCGATGTAATTCATCCGACGAACTTTCCTACACTCTGCAAAGAATGATGATATCCTGTTCGCACGACGTTGCTTCTTTGACGTTAGAGCGTATCTTAATCATCAGGTGAACCCTGGTAGGCGTGGAGTTATATGAACAATCGGGATCAACCCAAAATAGAGTTATGCCCTCGCGCCAGTGAAGCGACGATAAGTGATTTATTTGACGCATAGATCGAGTCAAATGAGACACTTGAAGGCAGCGGAAGTACTTTTAGAGTCGTTTTAGAACCAGAGTCAAAGTAATTAGAACACAGTGAAATTTAACTTGGAACTAGAGTCTAAGTTGACCTGACTTTGAGTCCCCAAAATGGGATCAAAGTATTATGTTTTTTAAATGTGTAATCATAATGTACCTTATGGTGACTGAAGCCTGTAGGATGGAGGAATCTTTTCCGCTACTGGCAGGCCCGTTTTTTGCATGTATTTTCCTCAGCAAATTCGTGGAAAACCTACAGAACCCGGAAAAATCCTGCATAGATGTCATGATGACCAGGTTTTATTACGGCTCTAAAATTGGACTGTATTTTGCAATTTGGAACTATAAATTTTGGCTCATCTGAAAAAACACTTATGTGCCTGGGGAAACTAACGGCACATACGTTGTTTTTAAACCGGGCCAGAATTCATAGTTCCAAATTGCAAAATGCAGTCCAATTATGAATCATACCCATACAAGACGACCTGAAAAGAAAATTGTTTCGTATAAATAGGAAAGCAGGTTTTTAGAATTTCACCTTCATACACATAGTAAAGTCCTGGAAAAGAAAAGAAAAGGAATTATGGAAATATGAATGCAGAGAGCAATGTGTAAATTCAACCCGAGTGGGAGTTTCAAGCAAAACGCGGAGGGAAAAAAAGGAATAAAAAACATAACCTTAATTGAATAATTCAAGGGATGCATACATCACTCAAACCGAGACGGGAATAAATGAATCGATGAATGTTCCCGTGAATACTCGCCGGCTAATTTTTTCCACCTTAGCATTTTGAAAAGTATTCCTTGACGTCATCCAAGCATTGTCCAGTGATGAAGTCTTTGAATAAGCGAGATGATGTCGAACTTTGGCTGACTGTAACAATGCGTGCACGCGTTGCCGGCACGTGCCAGCGACGCGTACCCAGCAATTTTTAATGTCTCTGGAATTCTGAATTTTTTCTTTCTTTTTTTTTGCATATTCCTATAGAAGAGTAATAAATGGTCCCATAAATAATAAATGCATATTCAATTATTGTGTACGGGAACTTCCTATCCTTGGTTGTAGGAGACGATTTCAGACTCTAAAACTGGAACACCCGGATATTTAACTATTATCAGCAATTTTTAATGTCTCTGGAATTCTGAATTTTTTCTTTCTTTTTTCTTTGCATATTCCTCCAGAAAAGTAATAAATGGTCCCATAAGTAATAAATGCACATTCAATTATTGTGTACGGGAACTTCCTAGCCTTGATTTTCGGAGACGATTTCAGACTCTAAAACTGGAACAACCGTCCCCCCCTCCCCCCTGTCAACCAACTAAATAATAGCCTATATTCGGACCGCGCTAAGCAGAAAGGAACCAAGGCACATCCGCCGGTGCCATATTTAATTGGGCATTTTAATTTTTTTACGTGAAAACGGTCATGTAGATTTTTCTGCAAAATTCAGTGAATTTTCTGCATAATACGAAGCGTCTTTCAAATTTCTAAAGGATCAATCCCCGAAGATGTTCTCTTGTAAAAAATCAAATTGCACTGTTATATTTGGCAATAGCTGTCGTGGCTTTTTTCCTTTCTGATAAACGCGATCCATTTAAAACCGAAGCTAGGAAATTTTCCTCGAGAAGGAGTCAACAAAACAATGAATGTAATTTATTGGAAGACCAGAAAGTTAAAAAATCAAACAGTTCCAATTCATTCAAGTTGATGAATATCCAATCCAATACAAGGGTTTCTACTTAAAATCATTATGGAATTTTGAAAAGTGAGACCTCTAATGTAGTACATGAAATCCTGGAAATCCCGAGGGAAGCATCCTAACGAGAGAAAAGAAGGTTCGTTCGCCGGATTTGAAGGATACGACTCGTACGAGCGTTCATGACCTTTAGCAGGAACCGGCAAGGCACTTGACGATGAGCAGCCACCGAGTTGAAGATGTAGACGGGAAGCGCACGCTTGTAATGGAAATGATAATTCCTAGGCCAGGATATTATAATGATAATGATGGATTCATCGTAAGAATGTAAATTTTTTCTATCCGTGGTAATCTCTGAAATGAGCTAACAACGCCCATTCAACTTTACGCTCATTAGAATGTCCGGTGATTGATGATTGTTCATTTTTCTCGCAGTTTGATTGGACAAGCCGCCAATAGCGTCTTCTCCGCGCTGTTGTCGAACTGAACGAATCTTCTCGCGATCCTTAAATGCGATGCATGCGCTAAAAGGATAGGCATGCTATCTTACTTGACAATCCTGCAATAGTTGTCTCTTTTTGTGTCTTCTCGTTCTTGAGAATTCTGCCGTGTTAAGGAAAAACGCCGTACGAACCTCCAGGCGTTGCAAAATTTCCTCTGATATAATACGAATTTATTGGGAAAATCGTAAATATTTTTCTTCCAATTTTCAGACCATTTTGTTCGCAAGCTAATCTAAAATCTTTGAAAATTTTAAGGAAATATATACATCAATTTCGTCAAAAATGCATGATTTATCCGGGGACATTTGGCAACTCTCGAATGTTCATACGGCGTTTTTTCTTAGCATGGCAGCATCGGTACGTCTTCCTGCCTAGTGCGCTCATGATTTATTTTCATGAAATTTTCAATTACAGCTTTTTTTCCCTCCTTATTTTTTTGCTTTCACGGTCCTCTCGGCATCTAGGAACTTTAGGATATCAAGTAAATCCTAAATATCTCACTACTGTCAATATTTTCTTTTAAACACACATGAGAAAAGGTCGAGGGATTATGAATTGAGAATGTTCATGTCGCAATACATCAAGTCACTTCTCAGAGATTTAAGTTTTTTGTTAGATCTGTTTTCCTTCTTCTTTCTCTCCTTTGTTGGGTATTGTTGTACAGTGTAACGAGCATTAAAACACTATTGATATTATTGTATCTAAATATTTAGTGACGAAATATTCAAAAGTCTATGGTCTTTCTCATGCGTATGATCATTTAGATTTCTCTGACGTACGTAAATTGCATGATTCTAAATTTCAATTTTCTGTACAACTTCGCTTTTAATTTTGACTAACCTAATGAAGCTATACGTTTTT